CCTGCATCTTTCACTGTTGAAAAGTGTTCTGCCTGGTAATACATCAAAGAGACATATCATTATTTATTTAACTCTTTTCTCTGTCAGTTGAGAGTTGGTGTCTAAATTTTCCCCTTCTAACAATTCTTTGGTGAACATCCTGTTTCTTGATGGGATAAACCCAGAAGTATAGAGAAGGGTCCCGGAAAAGCCTCCAGAGGAAGCGCCCTCTGTTGGAGGCCAAGAGGATATGGGGGAGGGGCGGGGGAGGGGTGGAGGAGGGGGGGGCAGGGCTCCTGGCAGAGGAGCCGCCTGTGCAGAGGCTCCGAGGGGTGCGGGAGTGCTCCTGGGACTGGGAGTTCACCGCAGCCGAAGGAGGAATTGAGGGGCTACTTGCTGGGGGACCAAGGCCAAGTCCTGAGGACCCTGTCAGCGGCGCTAAGGAGTGTGGGCTGTGGCGGTGGGAGCCACGGAGCGGTGGGAGCCACGGAGCGGTGGCGTGTCTAGGCTGAAGCTTTGTGAGCTCCCGGGGCTGCGTGTGTGCACCAACCTCGCATTTCACAACCAGACTCAGGGCTGTTATTAACACAATGAAACAGAAATTAGAAAGAAGAAAATAGCTCGCATGTAACAGCTCACAGACAAATGTTTCGAACTGTCTAGGTTCTTAAACTCAGGGGACAGTTGAACAAGGCACAACCCTCACTTCCCTGTCTAGATGGCTGGAGATGCCATCTGATTTAAAGAAGCTGGGTGCTTTAGCCCCTTCCCCGTAGCAGGAGCCCAGTGGTGTGTCCGGATGACAAGCAGGCTGGGTTCTCTGTGAGTAGCTCAGTGAGGGTGGAGTACCCCCCAGGACAGCAGGGAGGCGGGTGTGGTCCACACTGTGTGTGCCTTAGACCCCAGCCACCCCGCTGCCCACGCCAGGGCGCAGCAGGCAGGAGCTGATGGGCGGGGCCCCGAGGGCTGACATCTCCGTCTGGGGAGCGCTCCTGGAGCTAATAGGCAGTGGCAGCTCCATTTGAAAACCACGGCAACGCTTAGCGAGGCTGTGACCTGCCAGCCCGTACACTGCCTGCGGACACCAGGCTCCCCTGCCCGGTGCCCCTGCACCTCATCCCTGCTGCCTCACTGAGGCCGTGGGGGTGCAGAGGAGGATGCCGAGCTGCCAGAGGCTGTTTCTGTTTCCCATCACAGCCTCTGGGGAGGCCCCCGCAAAGCAGCAGCCTTCTGCTACGAAGGGAAATGGATGGTTTTTAAAGAAAAATGGCCCCTGAAGACTCTGTGTCTCGGTTAACATGCTTCCTAGGCTGGCTGGTTTGGGTCCCCACACCCAGGCCAAAGAGAAATACTCTTCTATAAGAAATACTCCTTATAACTGCCAGAGAGCCCTCACCCCGCATCCCTGCCCTGGGCATCTCTGTCCCCTCCGCCCTCCCCTTCCCCCACTCTCCACCTTCTCTCCTGGGGGGATGGCAGCGTCTTCGCCTGCCTAGCACCCCCGCTACCCGTCTTGTTCCCACTCTCTGCAGTCCCCACGCGGCAGCCGAGGGACCCCCACTCTGTCTGTCCACATCTCCACTGGACTCTCAAGCATCACCATAGCCCTGGCCAGTTTGCTCAGTGGTTAGAGCGTTGGCTCATGGACCAATGAGTCACGGGTTCGATTCCGGCCAAGGGCATGTACCTTGGTTGTGATTCGTCCCCAGCCCTGGTTGGGAACGTGTGGGAGGCAGCCACTTGATGTGTCCCTTTCACGTCAATGTTTTTCTCTCTCTTTCTCTCTTCCTCTCTCTCCCTCCTACTCTATCTGAACAAAAATGGAAAAAAAGTCATCGGGTGAAGATGAAAAAAAAAAGAAGTCACCATAAATGAAACTGATGCTCGATTTCCCCCACAAATATGCTCTACCCCCTTGTGCACCCCACTCACCAAGTAGTTCAGGCCAAAAGTCTTGGGGCCACTGACTAGTCCTCTCCTCCTCTCATGCCCACACCTGACCCATCAGCAACCCTCATGAACTCCAAGTGCAAACTGCACCCCCAAACCAAGTGCATCTTCCCACACCCCTCTCCTTTCCTCCCGCCGCCCTCCGCTCCTTCCGGCCTTGTGACCACAGCCTCCTGGCTGCCCTCACGCTGCCCCGCTCTGGCCTCGGCCTGTCCACGCACAGCTCCCTCCGTCCTGCGGAACACGAGTCAGCACGTGCCGCGCGGTGCTCAGAAAGCCCTCTGTCCTCGCGTGGCCAGCAAGGTCTGTGACCTGGCTCCCGCTCTGACCCCTCTCTCCCTGGGCCACCGTTTTGGACTCATTGCTCTGTGGTGACTACACATGTGAACGGCTGTCTCAGGGCCTTTGCACTTGCAGTTCTCTCTGCTTGGAATGCTTTTCCTCTAGACGTTCGGATGGCCCTCCCTCGCTGTGCTGAGCACCCGTGCACAGGCCCTGTCCTCAGAGCCGACCGCCTCGTCCAAAGTGCTATCTTCACTCTGTCTCTGGCTCTATTTTTCTCACTAGCACTTACTTCTGCCCAGCATTAAAACCTGTATTTACATTTACAGTTATATTTTTATTTATTTGTTTGTTGCCTTTTTCTCCTAATAGAATGTGAGATCCATAAGACATGGATTTTGTATAATTTATGATCAGCATCCAGTAGATACTCAATAAACATTTCTTGACTGAGAAACTGAATAAAGGGTCTGGACAGCGGTCCTGAGCACACTGCATTGACCCCGAGGGTCCGTCTTCTGTGGACGTTTTCCCCACCGGCCAGAGACCGTGTTAGACCCCGAGTCTTGATTGTATGGCTTCTCATTTTCTGAGGACTGAGGCCAAGATAGGGAAAAGCTGAAACAGTTTAGCTTGGAATAACAAATATATTTCTCTAAGTCTGACACAGGCCTTTTAAAAAGGCAAGACTGTTCCTCAGTATCTACGACGTAACCGTCCTGAGTACCCCCTGTGGGACGCACGTGCTGCCGAGGGAGCCGCGTAGGAACCAGGAGGGAGAAGCCGAAGCTGTGGGGCTTCCTGTGGCAGGAGCTGAGCGCCTGCTGGGGACCAGCGCCTGGCCACACCGTTAGCTCCCCGTGTCCTCCTCACACCCCTGTCGAGGAGCGAGACTTGTCCTGGGTCACAAGAGACACTTCCAAGAGCGAGCCTGGTGGCGCCAGTGCTGGGATTTGAACCCCTGTCTGCACGGGCTTCCTGCTCCCCACCTGGACGGAGCTGGCGGCGTCTGAGAGCCAGGTCCCCCGCGTGGCCGTGCCGCTCCCGTGGTGGAGGCCTGGAAGGAGGCGCTGGCACTCCTGACCTTCTCCACTTACCGCCTTTCCCAGCAAGTGGGCATCTTCTCCGCCTCCCAGTTGCCAAACGCGGCCGTTTTCAGGACTCCCCTGCCCGGCCCGCGGCGCAGCTAGTCTGATGTTCTCTCCCTGGTTCTGCTCTTACTGCTCTCGGTTTTAGGGGCTGTTCCCTCTGGACCCGCGGGAACCAGATTCTCCCTCCTGGGCGGTTGTGTGAACGAGGGGTAACACAAGCCAAGCACCTCGCCGGGGTGGGTTGTCGGTCACCTGGACGCTGCTCAGTGGTTTTTATTCCTAGTATTATTATCTCTTTGGCACCCTCCATATTGTCTTTAAAATTTTTTTAATTTTTCAATTTCAAACTTCAAAATTTCTCCTGAGGCCCAGAATCTGTACTTCTAACTCTTTCAGGTCATCTCTTAGAATGCCACTGGTCTCTCAAAGTCATCACACCCAGAATGGAAATAGTCCTCTTTCTGAATTCTCCCAGTTTCTTGATCTCATTCAGACCAGAGACCTCATCATTCCCATCCGCGACTCCCCTCCCAGCCCCGCCCCGCCTCTGACATCAGGCAGACCTGGCCCACACTGCTCTCTGCTCATTAGCCATGTGACCGCGAGCAGATGACACAACCTCTCTGGCCTCAGTTTCCTCACCTGTCCCCTAGGATGACAATAAAACTCACTTCCTAGGGTCATTGGGAAGATTCAGTACGATAACGCATGTGAAGAGAATGCTAGGGTCCTTGGCATATAGCAAATGCATAATAAACATAGATGGTAGCTGTCATAATTATGGCGACTGTGTTATTAGGTTGTGGTCACCTGCAGACCCTGTGTTTGAAACACTTGGAATGCAAATGGGCTTTGCTGCTGAAGAAAAAGAATGTCAGTGACTTGTCCCTTCTCAGTAGGTGGGAACCAGCATGTGTGTGCGTGTGCATTCGTGTACACACATGCACACACACGTGTTGTAACTCTGCCTCGGACCAGGGCCTTTTCATAAGAAGGACCACAGGGTGGGTGAGAAATGGCAGCGGTTTTCTCTCTGGAGCCTGATGGGCTCACCAGGCTCCGGTTTGTGTTTCATCTAATACCCTTCCTTCCCATCTGGGGAGAGAATGGATGCTAACCTCCTGACCCCTTATAGTAAAAACCAGTAACTTACCCAGCTAACCAAGGCCCTGTGGGTGCCCAGGCATTGCAGGCACCAAACCCAGGTCTGGGGATCTTTCTCTGTTGACTGGAGCCAGTGGACAGCACTTTGGGGGACCTGCTGCTAAAACAGATCTCCCAGGTGACGTATACGTGGGTCATCACTTTGCATCTTTTGCCACATGTAACATCTCTGGGGCCTTAATTCCATCTCCTTCGACAGCCGAGCCTGGCTGACTGGGGGGTGGAGGGAGGGCACATGATACATGCCACCAGCCCCACCATCTCATGCTTCTGCCACACAGCTCCTGACTGCCCAGAGGCCCGGGCAGCTCGCGAGCTACAGAAACCGAAGGCCGGGAGCCCGAGGGCATGTGCCAAAGGTCATGAGGGCTTTACATTTTACGTTGCTCTCATTTCTGGTCATTGAAACCACCTCTCTGAGGCAGTGAAAGGGAAGGGATGGAGAGACCACCCCAGTTTTGTTTTGTTTTGTTTTGTTTTTTTCTGTTTTGCTTTGTCCCACCCACCACGAGTTCTTTTCTTCCCCTCTCATAGTGTGGGCGAAACGCTGAAAACTTCGACCGGTTTTTCACCCGCCATCCACCAGTCCTAACACCTCCCGACCAGGAAGTCATCAGGAATATTGACCAGTCAGAATTCGAAGGATTTTCCTTTGTTAACTCTGAATTTTTAAAACCTGAAGTCAAGAGCTAAGTAGCTGTGTAGATCTCCGTCCTTCGTTTCTGTCATTCGAGCTCAACGGCTATTTTGGTGACATTTTATTTTTTTCATTGCAAAGTTCCATCCATGTTTATTTGCTGATGAGACTAGAGTGACCATGTCTCGGACCCCACCTGTCCACATGGTTCGGAGCGTCTCTGGGCGATGGGCCAGGCCGCTGTCACGTGGAAAGTGCGCTGCACAGCGAGCACGCTGCCCGAGGCCGCTCACGGCGCATTCCCGGCGGGGGGGGGGCGCGATTCAGTGAGGACAGAAAATGCCTGCTTTCTTTTCCTTTTATCTGGCCATTTTCATACATTCTCCAGCTCTACCGGCCCGGCCTCGACTCTCCCCACCCGCGAGTGGGTGGTCGGCGGCCAGCAGCCTTCTGCCGCGTCCCCGGAGCTTGGCTGCGGGACCAGTGTATGGCTGCTTTGACTCGGAGGGAATTCCTCCTGCTGCCTGGCTGGAGGCACCGTGAGCTTTGAAAAGCACGTGCTAAAAATAAAACTTTATCTGTTCTTTTTTAAATTCAAAGTCAAGATGATCTGAACCCTTTTAAAATTCCCAAACTGTGCTTTTACACAGTTTCTATCTGAAAGCACCTCAAGGGGTCAAAAGGCAACCAGCTTGGGTGTGTCCTCAGTGCGCTAATTTCCGGCCCTGCTCCGCATCCCCAGGCTGCTGGGAGGGGCGTTTGCCACCACTTCCTGGACAGACATGGTCACTCTAGCAAGGTCCCAAAGGACCATGATTTCACATTACATTTCAAACTTTATTTGCTTTGGGGTTTTATTTCTGTTGTTCAAATGCAAAAACAAAATTAATTGGTTACACCTGCTTTGAAATATGTGTCCAAATGTTACTAACTAACCACAATGACCAACTGCTTGACCGAGAGGACCGTCCGAAGCCTGGCAGACGGGCCTGAGCGCCCGGGTCCAGGCTGCCCGCTGGCTCTGGGAAGCTAACGAAATGCTCAGAGAAGGGCACCATCTCTCAGACAGACAGTTGTATTCTTCTCTGTGATGTTGTTTTGCAAGATGTTTGTGCAAATGTTCGTTTGTATCTGGATATGTGTTATGTGCCATTTTTCTTCTAGCATCGAGACACAATAGCAGAAACAGGAGAAGAAATGCTACATCCGTGAAAACGGGGACCCCGTCCACAAAGTGGGGCTGCCCGGGGCTTTGGGACAGACGGAACTAAACTCGGCTTACCTGAGCCCCAGTGTCCAGCCAGTCAGAGAGGCCGGGGCTGTGGGCCGTTCGAGGACCCCTGGTGGCCCGGAATGGGGTGGGGCGAGCTGACCAGGGGCCTCCAATGGTGTCCGAGCCCCCAACCCACATTGGGGGCCAGCTAGAAGCGTGGGCAGGCTCTTGACTTTCTCATCAGAATCACTACTACTCCCAGCTTGGACTTAATATTCTCTGTAGCAAGAAGCTTTATGAACCCCCAGAAGCGCAAGGAAAGCCCTTGGGTGGGAGAGACCCCGTTTCTGTCTACACAGAGGAGCACAGCAGTGGTCCCATCCTTGTCTCCTGCCTCCCGCTCCTCTCAGCCGAACAAAACCAGCAGGGGACTTGAACACCTGGGCAAATGTCCTTGAACTCAGACTTCTCATCTTTAAGAAAACCATGATGTGGATTTCCTGCCACTCACCCTTCCGCCCTCGCGGTTCTCGCTGCTGGCTTTGGGGCCGTCCTGCTGCTGCCCCTGTGGTAGAGGCCTAGACCCCGGGGAGAGGAGCCCCGGTGAACAGTAGTGTGGGAGGTTAGCGAAGGAGGGAGACGGACAGAACCGCACAGCTGCTGGGGAGCTGGCGTCAGCAGAGAGGCAGTGACCTGCCCGAGATCAGCCAGCTAGCGGGGTGCAGGGCCGGGTCGCTAACACTCGGACCCTTTCTGCTCTAACGGGCCTCTGCTCCATGGCAGGTTAGTTGAGGTCCTTTGTGTGGCTCTTGGGTCACCAGGCCTGTCCTTGGACATGCTCTCAGGAAGGAAAAAGTCGTGGAGAAACACTGGGTGGCCAACAATGACGGAGACAGCTTTAGAGACCAATGTAGCTAGGTAGCTAGGTAGGTAGGTAGATAGACAGATAGATGATAGATAGGAAGAATATACTGTATATATACACAGTACTCTACATTTTCCAAATCGCTGCCATTATTTTCCAAAAGTTTGATAGTTTGCAAAAATATGAACTCAAGCCAACATCTCTGTTCCCCTCTCCCCTCACTGAGGTGGGGCGGAGTCTCTGTGGAAGTCAGGGCTCTTCAGAAGTCCCGCAGTTTCCTTTTCTATCAGCATTTCATGTGCAGAGGAGACCAAGACACCGAGCGTCAAGGTGTCGAACCTCGGGGGAATTACTTGGGAAGAAGGTGTTGGTCTATTTCCCTCATGCACAGGCTCCGCCCTCCATTCATCACCCAGCCGTCAGTTGTCCGCTCGGCTGGGTGCCGGGAGCACAGTGGAGAAGCAGGACCCTGTGATCCGGGCAGTCTTTGCACAGTAGAAAGCCTGATGTGATCTGAAGGTAACTGGTCTGGGAGTCAGGGAAGGCTTCTTGTAAGAAAGAAGAAGTCCTCTCTCTCGTCTTCAGGGTGTGACTTTCTCTGGAGGCCGCAGTGTGAGCTGAAGGAGACGCAGCGTCCTCCTGACCCCGATTCTGGGGCAGTCCTACAGTGCTCTGGGCGAGACGAGAGGCCGGACAGCAGCTGGGTGGGTTTCCTTCTAGAAGGCCAGCGGCACTGTCTCTGTGCTTAAACAGAACACGGTCACCAGGACTTGAGCAGAGACAGATGCCGAATGGAGAGGGGCCTGGATTTACTGCGGGGTTCTCAGTTCAGCCTCCCCTCCTGGGGGGTTGCCCGCAGGGAGACAGTGCCCCTGGCTCCACACGGCCTGCGCCTCTAGACCAGACAGCCTGAAGTTTCCAAAAGAACTAAAATTAGGGGATAAAAAGCTAAGTAAGAAAATCTAAAGCAACCTAAACGTGTTAGCCATGGCCAAGTGTCTACCAGGATCCAAGATCCTCCTCATTTCGTAGACTTCTTACGAACCTGCTCCTCTGCTAGAAAGGGTAGGATCATGACCACAATGACCTTCTTGGAAAATCATTAGCAGGCCAGTGGGATGAGTGACCCGCCTGGAGGCGTGAGACTTCTCTCATGTGGCTTCAGATACTGCCAACTCAGAAAGGACATGTCCCTACAGAGAGGCCCGTTCTCTCCCAGTGTCCAGGGTAAAATTCAGGGCTATTGTCTTTGGGGATTTGCCCGTAGGACGAAATCCGTAATGGAAGTCCTGTTTGGGCCCGTGGCTGTCTGAAGCGTGAGTCACCACCAGCACGCCAAATGGGCGGGAAAGGAGCCTCCGGAAGCCCAGAGGCAGGGCGGGGCACACGCGTCAGTTGCCAGGGGACACCTGCACGGAGGCGGCTGCCTGCCTTCTCGCCCGAGACGTCCCAGGACCCAGCCACATCCATGGCCCTCTCAGACCTCCTAGGGGCCCAACAGTGCAGTCCGCACTGAGACGGATAGGGGCCCATGTGAGACCACAGGGTCAGTGGCAACAGATTCCATTGTTTTGCTTCAGACTGAAGTCCCTGGCTCAGGAGCTACTATGAGCAGGGAAAAGTGGAGAGAGTCATCCTTAGCCAAGACTTCATTCCCTGTTGCATTCACTCTACAAACAGCGTGGACAGCCCGCTGTGCGCTGAGCACGTTCTTGGCCCTGGAGATAGTCGTGGAGAAATGAGCAAGGACCCTGCCCTCCCAGAGGGAGGACTGAACAAGTCAGTTTCCAGCAGCAGCAGGTGAATGTAGGTCGTGAGAAGGACGCTGAGTGACTTGTGGGGTCCGGAGAGGTGTGCACTGACGAACTGAAAGGGAGAGGTGGCCTTCGAGCGTCTCTGTGAGCACAAGGGGTAGCCCAGGGAGTGCCCGGGGACAGCACAGGACGGGCGGCCCAGGACAAGAGGAAGCAGAGTGGGTGGGCGTGGCGGAGATGGCCCCTCCGGAAAACAGCTCCTGGCTTCCTCCGGCTGCTCCCTCTGGCCGCGCTGATTTCCCGCCGCTCCCACACCCCACAGACACGCAAGAGCAGGTCGGGGGCTCCATCCGGGCCTTTCCCCGTCTTGGGAGCGGCCAAAGGAAGGAGTTTTTCTGAGGGCTTTTTGCAAAGGGGAGTGAACCCAGTAATGCGAAGTCCTATCAGTCAGTGCCCATTGGAGGCTAAACCTAAAACCGGATGGTGACTGGCCACCTTGAGCAAGTCAGTCAGTCTCCTCATTGACCAACCCCTCTTTAAAGTCCAGCTTCAGTCAGGCAGCCTGGCTGGTACCAGTGAAACCCAGGTGTCCTCCTTGGCTGCCCAGTCATAAACCAGCCGTCCTTGTTCCCTAGCCGAGGGGCTGAGGGGACATCATTAGGGGCAATGTGGTCAGGTGAGAATCACTACCCACTGTGTCCAACCACGGGGCGGGGGCTGAGGACTGCAGCTGTCCCTGCCCCCAGGGATAGTGAGGATAGGAAGAGAGGACAGGCCGGCGAGGACTGAGAGCATCACACAGACAGGAGAGGTTTCTCTGAGCCCACACGCGTTCTCTGGTAAAGCTGCCCCCAGCCAGGATCATGCTGCTCCCCATCCCCGGGAGATGCCAGATTACTAGGAGAATAGAGTTGTTTGTGTCTGTGTTAAGGCTGCCCCTACAGACCTCACCGTAAGCTTTGGGTTTTGTTTCTTGTAGTTATTAGATACATGATGTAATCACCCTGGGAGGGGCCCCTGGCTGCTGAAGCCCGAGGCCAGCCTGCGGGTGGGTTTCTGAGCCCGGGTGGACAGGGTCACGAGCAGCCATCTCGTTCCCCCACATGCCGCTCTGCTTCGGGGGCTGGGGGGCTGTCCGGCTGTCCTCCTGACGGAAAGGGCCGTCCTGCACACGGGGTTGCTTTTGGGTGGTTTTCTCTGGGACGCTCCACCCAGTGCCTAACTCTGACATCACACAGTGAGAAGTAGTTCCCAACGCCATTCGCCTCCAAGCCGAAGAACACAACACCCACCCACGTGATGACAATCCTTAGAGAAATTCAGTGTCTCATTTCCTTTCTTAGAAAAGGCCCACCACGTTTTCTCTCCTGAAGCCAACCCATGGCACGACATGAAAGCTAGGGGTCGCACGTGCCCTGTGCAGCTGCTATCAGCGCGGCTCTGTCCCCCGGCCCCTGAGCGTCATCAGCTCCCCGGCGCCCGGCGTGTCCGGTCGTGTTCCCTTCTATGCTGTGTTAATGTGTCTGCTTTCCGTTTGGCAGAGAGACAAGCGAGACACCTCCAACTTCGACAAAGAGTTCACCAGACAGCCTGTGGAACTCACGCCTACTGACAAACTCTTCATCATGAACTTGGACCAAAATGAATTTGCTGGCTTCTCCTATACTAACCCAGAGTTTGTCATTAACGTGTAGGTGAATGCACGCTCCATGCCGAGCCTGGACTTCAGGCCCAGTGTACGTATCGATTCTAGTCTTCCAGGACCCACGGAGCGCCTGCCGCGTTCCGTGCGGCGAGCTTGTCCTAGGGGGCTCCCCTTTGTACGTGCAGCTTGCTAGTTTGTTTTCTACATTTGAAAAGTGTTTAGTTTAGAGTAAGCGCTTTGTCCAAGTATAGAGGAACAATTTTCCAAACTTCCAAAAACTCATCAAATGAACAGACAATGTCAAAACTACTGTGTCTGATACCAAAATGCTTCAGTATTTGTAATTTTTAAAGTCAGAAGCTGATGTTCCTGGTAAAAGTTTTTACAGTTATTCTACAATATCTCCTTTGAATGCTAAGCATGACTGGTGTTTTTAAAAATTGTGAGTAAGCTTTGCAGTTACTGTGAACTATTGTCTCTTGGAGGAAATTTTTTTGTTTAAGAATTGATATGATTAAACTGAGTTAATATATGCAAACTCTCTGTTAACATGTCTGCTTTGAAATAGACTCCAGCCCAGAGGTTACAACTGGAGATGCGCCCGCAAGATAGGCCTTGTTTCACGTGCACAACATTTTATTTAGTTGATATCATTGTCAACCTTTAAAAAAAAAATGGGATAAGTTATTTAAATTTCTGGACTTTCAGATTCACTTGAAAAGAATCAGAAGACTGGCCGCACCGGGCCTTGGTTCCCTTGTGGAAATAATTTGACAGAACTGAACCATTGCTGTCTCCTTTCAGAGCAGTGTGTGCTCTCATTTTACCGCAGTCTCCACCAGGCCCTATTGCTGCACTTTTTATCCACCTGCCTAGTTGCTGTAGGCATCTGAGGTTGAGACATTTGCAAGTCACGAGCTTAGTGACCTTAATATTTTCCCGCCCATAAGCAGAGTATCTGCTCAGTCACTCGGTCGGTGTGGTTTGTGTGCATTAAGTCCTCAGGCATGAAGTAGACAACAGAAATTTCATTCCAGCCATGACAGAGTCAGCAAGGAGGCTGCTGTCAGCGTAGAGACTGACCCATGAGGATGCCATTATTTGTAGAACAACTTATCTTTTACTATTTTCTCCTAATTCAGCATCTGCAAAAAGGGGGGGGGGGGCATATGTCCCGTTCTCCTTGTCCAAGGAGGCCAGAAGAGGAGGGGGCGAGGGAGAGCTCTTCTAAGTGCCGTTGGCATGATAAGGAGCCCCTCCTTGAGATCAGAGCGGCACGTAACCGCACCACTGGCCATCAGCCCGATGCCCTCTCTGAGTGAACGACGCTCACGCTTTCTGTTTGAAAGATGTGGTCACCCCGCCTGTAGCCCGTGCTCTGGAGTGGCCAGTGCCCGTGGGCAGCGAGAAGAACAGCCTGACACACCAAGTGTGTGATGGCTCCACAGAGCTGGTTCACTCCTTGGAAGACGCCCGGTAAATGGAGCACTGGGGAGGCGGCGGGTCTGCTGATCCTCGTGTTCTCTGCAGGATTTTAGAAACTCTGCCAATTAAAATCGAGGAGAGCCAACTTAAATAAGAAACTGTGTGTTCTACGCACCCCATTTACAAAACAAAAACATGTGGGTTTCTATCGATGTTGGATGACATGTTCCATTTAAGATAATATTATAGAAGAGGTTGTTATGCTACTTCCGATTCCTCCCCATTTCGTGCCAACTCCCCACATTTTCTCCCTTCGCTGAATATAAACCTGTCTTTCATTTCCTGAATATGGAGCACTCGCTCTGAGCCAGGCAGAGTTCTGGGTGCTGGGGAGACAGCGACAAGAGAGCACAGGACTTTCCATTCACAGGGGCAAGAAGACGGCAGGATGCCAGGCTCCCAGCTTCCTGGGATTAGGGCCTGTGAGTTTTCTTCTTGACTCTGATTGGCTCAGCCTGGTCTCACGTGCATCACTGTGTCTGGGTAGAGAGGGGAGGTAGGGGAAGTGATTTGATTGGCCAGACCTGAGTTGTTTTTATTGCTATGTAACAAGTTACTCTAAAATTTCGAAACAGCCCTGGCCGGTTTGGCTCAGCGGTTAGAGAGTCAGCCTGCCGTCCGGAGAGACCCGGGTTCGGTTCCCGCTAAGGGCATGTACCTCGGTTGCAGTTTGTCCCCGGCCCTGGTTGGTCGTGCGGGTGGCAGCCCCTCGATGTGTCCCTTTCACATCGATGTTTCTCTCTCTCTCTCTCTTCCTCTCTCTCCCTCCCACTCTATCTGAACAAAAAAAATGGAAAAATGTCCTCGGGTGAGGATAAAAAAAATAAAATAAAATAAAATTTTGAAACAAATATTTATTACCTCTCTGTCTGTGAGCAGGAAACAGGGTGTGGCTTAGCTGGTTTGACACCTGTCCTGAGGGTGTAGTCAAGCTGCTGGCCAGGGTTGCAGTCACAAATGAAGGCCCAACTGTGGGACGATGGAATTTGCATCGAAGGTAACTTACATGGTCTGAGGCAGCCTCAGTTCCTCGACAGATAGGCCTCCCCATAGGGTGCCTCTGGCATGGCCACTGGTCCCCAGGTGTGAAAGATTCAAGTGAGAGCATCTAATCCAGAAGCCATTAATCTCAGCCATTAATCTCGTATTGCTGTTTTCTGTTCTTTGGAAGCAAGTCAAGAAATCCAGCCCACGCCGAAGGGGAGGGGATTACACAGGTGAGAATTTCGGGAGGTGGGGGCCTCTGGGTGTCATCTGAGAGAGTGCCTTCCACAAGCGAATTGAGCCGCACCTCTGCACCTCTGGGCAGAGTGCCTCCCAAACCCCGTGAACAGAGTGAGCAAGGGGCCGCCCTGAATAAAAATGGGAACTTGTTCTTGGAACAAGGGGGACAGAGGCTCAGGAAGCAGGCCACAGCGGGGGTTCCCTGCAGATGGGCGCTCTGGGCTGTCCTTAGTGATGAGAGAGGCAGACCAGCCCTGAGAATCAGTTCAGGGACTGACTCTCTGGCCATTCAGTTTTCCACAGTGGCTGCCATTGTTTCATTGCCAAGCTCACCACCAAAGGGAAGGCCTAACTTTGAACTTCTGATGAGTTATAGTCTTTTGCCTTCAGGGACTCAAAACCCTACGAAGATGAGTTGGTGGAAACATTCACATGGTACAAGTCCACGTCAGTTATCTCGTACCGAATGATAAACCACCTCAACGCTTCGTGTCTTTTAAAATGACCATTTATTTAGCTCACCGTGGTGGTTCTTCTGGTCCGGCCATCCCAGCCTACCTCTGATGGACCTGCTGTGCCTCCTCGGTCAGCTGGGAGGCCAGCTGGTGGCCCGAGGGTCGAGGATGGCCTCTTCACGTGCAGTATTTGACACACTGGCTGGCCTGGCGAAGCTCAGTCAGGAGGACTTGGCTTTGCCCCACATGCTCCTGTGTGTCCCAGCAGGACCTGGACTCCTTCATACGGTGGGTCAAGGACTCTGAGGGGCAGTGAGGAGGCAGAGCCCAGCGCACGGGCTCGTTTCTGGCCTCTGCTGTGCATGGTCACTGCCTTCCCACGAGCCAGATCCAGGGGAAGGTGTCTCCTTGTGGGCAGGAGGCGCTGCAGAAACATTGCGAAGGCAAGTGGGCACGGGCGTAGAAAAATGTGGGGCCTGTCTTGTGTCTGCCGCACAGCTCGTCCGTGGAGCTGTTTGTGCACGTGGGGCCTCGGAGGGATCAGAGGGAAGGTGAAGAAACTGCCAGGAGCTTCTCGGCCTTCCCCGCGGGCGTGCTGCCTGCGTGGCCAGGAGTGAGTGTTCTTCTCCGATTGCAGCGCCGAGACCCAGCGCCAGAGTTCAGGCTTGTTGGTGGATCACCAGAGCCAACCTGAGAGCTGACGGGTAGGCTCCTCAAACCAATGAGGACAGAATTCCTGAGTCTTCAGCTGTTGTTGCTGCCGGGGCTGCTTCTCTAGTCGCACATAGCCAAGGGGCTGGCGAAATCAGGGAGGGCTGCAGAGCCAGGGAAATGGAACCGAATCTCAGCGCCCGAAGCCCGGGTTCCCAGGCCCTGTGTGTTTACTGGCTGAGGTTGAAATGCTCTGGCCCAAGCCCTTCTGCTGCTCGCCTCTTCCCAGACCGGCGATGCTGGCTCCCTCTTTCCCCAAAATAGAAGTTTGCACTCGAGAGTCCTGCCTCAGTGGTTGAACCACACTCTCTCCACTGTGGATTTTGTCGAACTGGTGTGTGTCCTGCCCCAATGAGGCCACGTGGACCAGAGACGCACGGCATTCAACTTGGTTTCCGCCAGTCGCGCTCCCTCGCACGGCCTGAGGGGAAGGAGCGTGGAGGACGGGGAAGAGTGGGTTACTGTGAAGATGTGACTGCGTGTATCTAAGGGGTTGGGTCGCATGGAGAATTCCTGGTTATTGTGTGGGTTGGATTACTTACTGATCTCCGTTAACAAATTACTCCAAACAAAGTACATTTATTAGCTCATGGTTTCTGTGGTCAGGAATCCAGGTACAGTTAGCTGGGTCCTCTGCTGCAGGTCCTCATAAGCTGCAACCCATGTGCTGGCTGGGGCGTGGTCTCATCTGAAGGTGCAGCTAGGGAATAATTCACTCCTAAGCTCACTCACGTGTTGCTGGCAGGATTCAGCTCCCTGTGAGCCGTTCCACTGAGGGCCTCAGCTCTCACCGGCTCTTGGCTGGAGGCTGCCCTCGGTTCCTCCCCGGGGCCTTCCCCAAACAGCGGCTCATCCCACCGAGGGATACACACGAGGATGGCGAGTAGAACACCAGTAAGATGGACGTTCTGTTCTTTTGTAAAAGAAACATGGGAGTGACATTATATCAGTTTCACTGTGTTCTATTTATTACAGTCAAGTCTCTAGATCCACCCACACGTAGGAGAAGGGAGACCAGGAGAACACAGGTGGGCAGAGGCGTGGGAGCCAGAAGCTGCCTACCACCTGGTGAAAAGGGCGCCCTCCAAGGGGCGGGCTGGCGGGGGAAGTATTTTTAAATTATGTTAAGGAG